AATGAGCTTCAATCCAGATGAAACTTCAGGAGCTGTGAATTGTTATACGTAGCTGCTGGACTTCTCAGTCCACTCCTGTGCAATTACCAGCCTGAGTGTCTTTGGCCCATTATGTGGTCCTATGAAATGACAGCCTGTTCTTGCACTTACTTTCTCATGGCAGAATTAATTCTGTTGCCTTGTAGCGAGACAGTTGTATTCAGCCCTCTGAGTTAAGTGTGCCACTAGAAACTGTTACAGTATCAAAACCTTATTGGGAAGATAATTAAAGATTACTGTCCTCTCTCATTTCCTTTGCTTTGGGGTTCTCGGCAGCACTGGACGTGCTTTGATGGAGCTCTGTGACAAGGGTGAGCAGGCAAGTGCCACGGTACCATGGGGACTAGCACTTGAGAAAACCGGTGACCTCTGGAAATGCAGACTTCAATTTCTTTACCATGAGTAACACAGAAATGATTCTTATTGTAGCAACTTAATCTTCTTTCCTTCCCAGTAGAACACCCACAGCCTCGCTCTGAAATCAGAAAATTGTCACGTGGGTTTTGCTGTTGCTCTCTTTTCTTTACTTTCTTCCCAATTCAGCAGCTCCTAACTTTGTGTTACAAACCCCTGACATCTGACATTACCTGGGTATTCCCTTCTGAAGAGAACCGAGAACAGACTTTCTTTTGCATGAGTTAGTTCACTTTTGGGTGTGACTGTTTATGTTTTGTTTAGACAGAGGTTTGCATGGGGCAGTGTGCCATGGTGGGGAGGAGGCAACTCACAAAAAAGACTGCAGCCTGCCTCTTCTTTAACTTGGAATTACAGCCTGTGCAGGGTGCAAGTATGGTTCTGCCCAGTGGTCTTGGTGTACAGGATGCAGAACTTCAGGATTTACTTTCCACAGTTGCATGGGAGGCCGAACAATTAAAATCTTCAAGGCAGGCTGGTATTTTTGGCTCACTATTGAGTACTGTTATGTAAGATGATACAAAATGTGTACGTTTCTTGGCTTAGCAGAAATATCTGAAAACAGATGGGCTGTGTCTCCTGAAGCTTTTCTTTCTCAGAGGTTTTTTTCTGTGCCTCACAGTGGGTTTTTTGCTGTTTTCTGCAGACTTCTGCTGGATGTGTCTGGGAGACTGGAAGACTCACGGCAGCGAGTACTACGAATGCAGTCGGTACAAAGAGAATCCTGATATTGTAAACCAGAGTCAGCAAGCACAGGCCAGGGAGGCCCTTAAGAAGTACTTGTTCTATTTTGAGAGGGTAGGAGACATCTCCTTGGCCAGAGCTGCTGTAGCCTTTTAATGCTCCCTGCCTGGTGCAAAGGTCATTGCCAGCAATCTCCGTGCAAGAAACTGCCCAAAGAGAACCTGTGCAGAATTTTCAGGCTCTGTTTTTCACTCAAAATCCTGCCCTGTGAATCCCATTCAAACCAGTGGTGTCATACCCAAAGCAAATCATACTTGGTCCTATATTCCCTTGTGCTAGAGAAAATCAGTATTACTTGTGTGCCACTGTACCATTTACCTGCAAGGCTGAGTGCCACTGCAGTAGATAGATATTGCTCCAATCGTTCCCTTCCAGGACTGGGGAACTTCAGTTCCTTGAAATCTGTCTTTATAGAGACAAAGAACTAAATAAACTCTGCCATGTTCAAAGCTCCATTGGCTCTAGCAAAGTTTTACTAAAATTTCATGTAATCACATTTTTTAAAGTTGCATCTCTGTCCACACAGCAGGCTCCACGCACCTGGCCATGCAGAGCAACTCTACAGCAGCATCTGTAGAAGAGAGTGTGGTAGAGGTTAAATACTGGTGCATTTCAGTTTCCCTATTAAAATGAGTTTATTCTTCACAGCATGAGCCAAGTCCTGTGGTAAAACAAATGTGTTCATTCCTGGTTCTTCAGAACAACAGGCTTTGGGAAATAGCCATGTTTACAATGTGCACATGGAAGTTGGATTTCACTGAGCCTGTGTAAATGTTAAGTTGAACTCTTAACCTTTCTATAGAAATCCTTTAAGTAGGGGAATTGCCATGTCTTTCCATCTTGTTAGGCACAAGGTCGCTGTGTGACCAGAGGGCATTCCCACTCGGAGGAGCTGGGAGTGCTCCCTGCTCTTTGCTGCCATCAGTCTGTTTACAGCCTCTGCCACTTGCTACTGGAGGTGCTGCCTTGCTGTTCTTTCCCACAGCATGTCTTGCCTTGCTGGACTCCTGCCCCACTCCAATTTCTGCTTGCTAGAGCTTGTGCTTTTACAGCAGTAGTACTCTGGTCTCATGCCACTTTTTCTTTCCCTGTCTCCCCACCCTCTGCAGTGGGAGAACCACAATAAAAGCCTGCAGCTGGAGGCACAGACATACCAACGAATCCAGGAGAAAATCCAAGAAAGAGTTATGAACAACTTGGGGACATGGATAGACTGGCAATACCTACAAAATGCTGCAAAACTACTTGCAAAGGTGGGTAATTGTGTCTTGTTTGGCACAGAGAAAATGCAGGCCAGAATGCTGAATTCATAGTACTGATTAAGGAAGGAAATTTAAGGGTTGTGGGTATGTGGAATAGTGCCTCTGGTCTAGGACATGAACTAGCTAAAAATCATCTGGAAGTGACTTCTGTGAAGTTATACTTCACGGTATACAGAGCTGCACAAATTCTTCCAAGGAAAGTGTAGGAAATTCTACCACGAAGTGTCCTTGTTAGGAGGTAGCTTCTTAGCCTGTAGTGACCACACAAATGTGACTCTGTTGACTTCCAAGTCTGACACTCTTGTCCTTTTCTCTGTCTTCCTTCCACTCCTGGGCAGTGTCGTTACACCCTGCAGTACACATATCCATATGCCTACTACATGGAGTCTGGTCCCAGAAAGAAGCTGGTAAGATGTTTTGCCTTTATTTTGTTGGTAAATTTTTGGGGTGTAGCTGGCAGCATGCTGGGCTGAATACCAGAGCTTGGCAGTGTCTGAAATATTAGTCCTTGAGTTTGAGGTAAGGACAGGACAAATAGGCAGTTTTGCACCTTCCCTCTTCACTTTGAGTTGACCAGCAGCTCTGTCATCTGATGCATTACATTATTTTCCCAGGGGACTTCACTGCACTTTCACTAACAAGCCATTTATCCAGAATGTTTTGAGGCTGGAAGTGTGCATTTGTTCCTTGGTAAGATTTATCACAGTGCTATGGGCCATATTTTATGTGAAGAGCTGCTGGAGGAGAGCTTGTCCAGCCTTGAATCAGGGTGTAGCTTTGCTTTTTACTCCTGCTGTAATTTCCTTTGTTGCTTGGTACATCTCGTGGACTGGACATGTTCAAAAATAACCCTGAATTCACTGCAGAGTTTTTTCTTTGACTCGACTGTCCTGTAAAACCTGTTGCAGAATCTTTCCCCATGGGATCATGTGTTCTCTGAGGCTGTGGACAGATGCTCTCTTCTCGATCTGACTGTGCCAGTGGAACAAGTTGCTGCTCCCAGCAGTGGTTAACAATCCCTCCACTCTGCCTGCAGAGCTGCTCATGGGAGCGTTTTCTGACCTGTTTATGGCAAAATGAGCTGAGTTAGGAGATACTTGTCACTTGCAGTGTTTTTAGGCTGACTGGATTATTCACTGAGTGATGCAGGTTGGGGAGTGCTTACACAAGAAACTCCCAGAAGGGGTGATGCTGTGTAACTGAAGGTGGATAAGGAGGAAACACAAACCTGCTCTGCCAGCACAGCTGTCAGCAAAACACATTTGTCTGCTCCTCAAGTGTGGTATGGAAACTGTGTGGTATGAAACTGCTCCACTAAACTAGTTTCTTTTTGCTCTCTAATTTTGCTCCTTGCAGTTTGAATACCAGCAGGCCCAGCTGGAAGCTGAAATTGAAAATCTCTCGTGGAAGGTGGAGCGAGCAGACAGCTATGACAGAGGGGTGAGTGTTCTGCTTGCTTGAGCCTGATGGCCAGATTTTGTTGGTTGGGCTTAACACTTCTGCAGAAGCACTGAGGTAGTCAAGTGAGAGTTCTGAGAAACTAGATCCAGAAACCACCTTTAGGCAGCAGATGTTGTAGAAGCGGAGTGCTCACTGCTTACGGAAGGGGAGGGTGGGCTGCAGGGAGTCCTGCACACTGAAATGGGACATACAGAGCTCTGGAGGAGGCTCCGGGTATCCCTCTGGTGAGGAGCAGATACCTTAAGTGTGTAGTGGTTTAGGAAGAGCAGGAGCCAGTCAACTGCAGAGGGAGCCCACATCAAAAGCAAGAAGATCTGGGATGTTGTGATCCAGAGTGCGTGTGAAGTGTGACAGTTGGTGCTTCTCACATGGAGTTTAGTCTCTCTGAGGAAAATGAGCTCTTCTCTGGAAAATGTGTGCTAACAGTTTGTACCTTCTGTTTTACCAGGACTTAGAGAATCAGATGCACATAGCAGAGCAGAGACGGAGGACCCTGCTGAAAGACTTCCACGACACATAAGACAGGAGGAAATGACAAAGTGCAGGGGTGAGAGCAGCGAGTGAAGTGATGGCAGCTTCACTGGGATAAGCAGGCACTGCCTCTGGGAGAACATGGCCAAGGACAAAGCCACCCCTCCCCTTGCAAGTCAGACACATGCAAACACCACATCTTAGTCCAGTTTGTTCTCTTATCTTTCTGTTTCTGTTTCTGCCAGGCTAGAGGCCAGAGCTCAGATTGGCATATTTCCTGGGCCATTTCCCTCCTGCCTTTGATGGTTTCAGAAGGGGAGGGAGTTTTTCTCTGAATGGCTGTTAATAGTATTAGATCATTACAGTTTATGTAATTTTCAACGGTTGTACAATTATACAGACAAACCTTAGAATAACACACAACCCTTTTTAAAAATAAATTGGCAGTGGAGTGTTTTTCCGTAATCTGCTTGTAAATTTAATGGGCTTTTCCCCCTCTCCCTCTCCCTTCCTCTGACCCAAAAATCCTCCTAGGCACTGAAGGAGGTTACAAAATATCTCAGCTGTATTTCCCGATGCTCCTTTAACCAGGGCATTGTAGCATTGGCATTGCATGAGGAGAGTGGCTGGTGTTAAGGGTGGCTGCTGCTGTGTCTGGCCCGACAGTACCAGCAGTGGCTGTTATTCAGTATGATTACACGTGACATCTCTTTTCTTGTAAATCAGCTGTGCAAAATCCAGCTACACAAACAGAAGCAAACAGAGGAATTTCAAGGGACAGACCAGGTTAACACTGGGGGATATGCCTTGAGTTTGAGAGAATTTGAGAGAAATCAGATTCTGCATTTGATGGATTTTAGGTCTTCCATGTAGATTTTTGCTTTACTTGTTTTTGTGGGGAGGATATTGTATTGCCAAAGTGAGTGATGAAGGAGTAGTAGCATACAGTTGTTAATCAAGGCTTGGGGCTTTTGCAGAGTGAAAGAATCCATGTTATAACAGTGCCATGCAGCCTGGTAAAGATTATTTGTGCCTCCTGGGTAGCATGGCTAAGAAAATTTGATTTCATTCATTAAAGTGAGACTGAATACCACTACGTTATGAGGAAGAAAGATTATGTACAACACACTCCCTGGCACATGTTGGCAATGTGGTTGGGCACTTGAATACAGGTGCACTACTCGTGCAGAGCCTGCACAAAGCCAGGCAGAAAATTAACTAGCAAAATTAATTTATTTGTATATTAGTATTGATACTGGTGGGGACTTATCAGAAAATTGATTGTTAGGAGCATGTGGAGCTTTTTTATTAACATTCTTTTTTCTAATGTAAAATATACACTAAAATAAAAATATGAAAACCTAGTTCATCTTAGTAGGGGTTAACATGAAAAAGATTGCTTAAATGCTGATCCTTGCCTGTCTGCTGCAGGAAGCAGGCCACATGTTAGGATTTCACAGGCATGTGTGTCACCTGCACCAGGAGCTTGTTGTTTGCAGCCAAAAAGGTGCAGCCGGAGTCTGATCTGAGGAAATCTTCTTCACCTCTGTGGGGAACTCACAGGATTCTCTTCCATACTCTATGTGGAAGTGTTGCCTTTGATCTATCCCTGTATTGTTCTTATGCAATGTCACTTGATAAAGATTAAACTGGAGGGGGGAAAAGTGCTAAATTCCTGCGTGTCAGAATAAGCTCACTCCACTGTTGGAGCCTCTTTCATGTACCTGAGACACATAATCCAGGTATTTGCAGCAGGTATAATTGGGCTGATGGATTTTATCAAGAGCCATGCATCAGTTTAAGAAAGGAGTAGCTGCCATAGGAACTAATCCTGTGGCCGTGCTTGTTGTACACAGCAGAAAATTTCAAACTGAGAGGCCTTTTCCTTCCTCCCTCCCTCCCTTCTCTGCTGTGGGATGTACCCTAAGGGAGCAGGGGAACATGCTGCGAGGAGCGGGGTTACAGCGGAAGAGGCAGAGGGTAGGGAAGGGTTTTGGAGAGATGGCTGGAGCCAGGGAGTGGGGTAGGGAGGGAGTCTCATTTCTGAGAGCAGCACTGCTTGCTATGCAAGAGATCTCCATAGCCATGGCTCCGTGTGTTCCAACTGTCCTGTTCTAGCTCCTCTCAAGGCTGGAGCCATAGAGGTAGATATGTCCTTGCTCCAGCCACTGTCTCCTGACTTTATTCCCTCTGCACCCAACAGCAGCCTCTTTGTACCCTCCTCTATATTCTAGAAGTCAGTCTCTTCCTTCCTCTCCCAAATGATTGTCAGTCAGGGCAGACTGCACCCCCAGGAAAGGTTTGCTGAGACCCCAGCAGTTTGCAGTGCATAGAACCAATAATCCCAAAGAATTATCACTTCTCTTACATAATTGTCCAGCTTTGAGCTAGATGAGAACAGAGTTTTGTCTGTCTCCCTCCCTGCCTCCTTCCCCTCCCTCTTTCTCGCGTGCCCCCACAAAATGCTTTGCTATGAATCCTTGTTTGTAGACAAGCCAAACTATAGAGCTGTGGCCAGACTTGTTGAACAGGCTGCTGAGATGCTTGGCTGAGGAACAGTAATAAGGATTGCACAGTGCACCCCCTAATTCTTTCAAATTTTCTGAAACTAGAACTTTGTCAACAGTTCCATTTATTTTTAAACAAAACAAAACATCCTTTCTGAAGGTGGTGAAAGTCCTGGGTTGCATGCACAGATCCTGTTGCTGTACTCTGTGAAAACAACAGGACTTGCTTTTGCAGCCCAGGTAGGGCGACTTCTGTATTGGTGTCATACAGAAAGTCATGGACTCCAGGACAAAACCTGCAGAGCACAGGGGCTGCTGGCTCTGTGTGTAAGGTGGCTGACACAGCTTGAGGGGCAGGTGACAGGAGGGAAATAGGTTCTCAACACCCAAAGACAAGGCCAGTTTTTTCCCCTCTAATAGGTACAGGGCCCTCTTTGAGTCAGCAAGGTTACATGGATGTAGGTGAATAGAAAGTGGCTCAGGAGTCATTAATCTCGAGGTACAAATTTCCCTTTGATGCGTTACTGCTGCAGACATGGAATGTTTGCTCTTTTTTTTCTTTTTTGCACTTGTTTCCAGCTCCTACGCCAGCCCAGCACCTCTCCATCCTTACATCTGGCACTCTTTTATTTCGGCTTCGCTTGTGTTGGTGCATTGGCTGCCTCATCTCTGATAGTCCTCAGGCTTCCCAGACTGTAACAAAACGTTTTCTACTGATACCATAAACTGCATGACTGCTGCCCTGGGTGCGGTGAAGGCGCTGTGCCCGCCCGCGGATTTGGCAGCAGGAGGTTTCTGTACTATAGTCTTGCACTCTAAATTTTAGACTTTTTAAGCAGGTGAAGAAAAAAAAAATAGAACTTTATTTTTAAATGAGGCACTTGTTCTGGGAATTCCTTTCCTGGCCCCGGTCTGGTTGGGGTTGTTGGGCAGTGTGTTCGGGGGGCTCAGCGCTGCTGCCACCCCTCGCTTTTTCTTCCCAGGCACCGGAGAGGGGCAGGGGCGGCGGAAACCGCCCGGGAGACGGTTGCCAGAGGTGTGCCCGTGGTTTATTTGAAATAAATTGTGACTTTCTAACTTCGGCGGTGTCCCGGCTCTCCTTGGCGGCGGGATGGGCACGGGGTGGAGGGGGGGTGTGGCTGCGGGCGCTGTCCCCGCCCCGCGCTGCCGCAGCGCCCGCCGGGCCGTTGCCGCGGTGACGCGGGGCCGGGCGGGCCGGGGCGATGGCGGCGGCGGAGGCGCGGGCTGAGGGTCCCCCGCTGCCCGGCCCGCCGGGGGGCCGCCCGCGGCCCGTCTGCTCCCGCCCCTACTTCCTCGTCCTCATGGTCTTCGCGCACCTCTACGTGCTCAACGTGCTGGGGCTGCTGCTCTTCGTGCACCTCAGCGCCGGCGAGCCCGGCGGGCCGCCCGCCGCCCCCGCGCCGCCGCCGCCGCCGCCCGCCCGCGCCCTGCCGCGCCTCGAGGGCATCAAGGCAAGAGCGCGACCCGGGGCCTGGGGCCGGGGCCGGGGCCGGGGCTGCCGCTGACCGCTGCTCTCCCCGCAGGTGGGCCACACGCAGCGGGTGGAGCTGGTGCCCGGCAGGGCCCACAGCGTGCGCACCCTCAGCCTCAAGCCGCTGCTCTTCGGTGAGTACCGGCCCCGCCGGGGGCAGTGGCCGAGCCCGGCCCCGGTGGCGGGGGGTTTGCACCACCCGCGCTGCCCTGACGGTGGAGTGTGTGTGTGTGTGTGTGTGTGTGTCTGACACCCGCCGCTGCCTTACACCCACTCGGGGGGAAGTGACTTCTCGCCTGTTTACATCACCTCCCTGTGCTGCTGCTCCTGGGGGCTGCGTTTTAAAAACGCTGTGGTTTCGTTTAAGGTATTTTGGTGCGGTATTCGCAGTGTGGATACGGTGTTACTTGTTGTGGATGGTCCGCTTTGAAGAATTTGGAAAATTAACCTCTCCAGGTTTTTCAGATTCCCTTTAAAAGTACCTGGGATAGCTGACGAGGACCTGGAAGGAGCTGCTCAGTATTAGGAAGGGGCAAGAGATCCCCAAACTTTTGGTAATAAAAATGTGAAAGAGAAATTTAGCGTTGGTGCTTCAGCGCTGAGGAAATGAGTAACGGGAGAACTGACAGATTTCATGTCTTCCACCATTTTGCATCCTGTTCCAGATTTATCTTTATTTTTGGCTGCTCTGATACACAACCACACAACATCCATCTCTGAGATATTTTAAAACCTTCTTTACCTTTCTGTGATTTTTTTGCTATGACTGGTAAAATCTCATTAATTGAACTCTGTGTTCTGGAAATCCACTGAGAATGAGTGAAATTAATTTCTGGGGGGACAGATTATTACAAAATTTCTGCTACTGCGAAGTCAGAGAAAGCCTGTTGTCTCTGAAAAAACAGCATGAAGAATCTTTCAGATGCTTTGTCAATAATATAAATAGAGAGTTCTTTTCTGGTTCCAAATAGATTATATACACTGAAAGCCTGACCATAGGTTTCTTATTAAACTCCATTAATGCAGTAAGTATCTGGAAACACTGTACAAAGTTCTTTTGTCACTTCTACATAGGTAGTACTCATGGTTTGCCAGTTTCTTGGTGGGTTTCTGTCTGACTTTCAGGAAACAGGTACACCAACCTGGAACTTATACCAGACAGCATCACAAAACAAATGTCAGTACCAGAACCACGGTCTGGGGCAATCGCTCTGGTTTTCACTCAGGAAAACTCCTGTTTCCATCTTCCCTGCCCCACCAGTACCGCTGCAGTGAAAGAGTTGGTCCTGGCCTGCAGGGGAGGTGCTGAAGGTGATAAAAGGCAGGTTGGTCCTGGCAGCAGCAATCCCACAATTTTTAGCTTGTTGCTTCAGCACCTGCATTGGTTCTTAGGGAAGCTTTGCTCCCTGAGGATGCCATCACACAGTGACAGACATTCACCATTTCAGATGCCACAAGAGCCTGTTCTCCTTTGTCCTCCGATAAGGACTCCCTTATTTAGAAGCTGCAAGTTGCAAGACAGCTCTTATCTCCTGGATGAACCTGCCAGGAGCAAGCTCTGACTTTGAAACACTTTCAGAGACTTCTCTATCTATGCAAACAGTACCAATCTAATTCAGCTGGTTTTAAAAAACTAATTTATTGCATCTCTGTTGCCTAAATTAGTGGAAGTGTGTCTTTAGCTTGGTTGCATTTGATAAAGACAGAAGCCCTTAGCAAAGACTCTTGCGTTTCTGGGGATTTAACACAAAGTGCTGTGGCATATGAGAGCCAATTTAAGGAAGCAGTGGCTGGTCTGTGATCCTTGCTTTCAGCAGAGCAGACTGCAGTGGGACCACAGCAGCAGACACCCATTAATGATTTAATGTGTGCTCTGGCCTTTGGGGCATGGGCTGGGCACCATCGGGGAATTTGTGTTTTGTTTTTTAAATATGAGTAAGTCACATCTGCATCAAAACGAAGCTTTCATTTCATGGAGCTCTGAAAAAATCCCTGCCCTATTTTTTTCCCCCCTCTGGCTACAAGGCATCGTTTCTAAAGCTTGTAAGTCAGACCATCTGTGCACTTTTTAGTTGGGAAACACTAGTAATCAAATAACCCTATTAATGGAAAACAAATCAGACAAAACCTTTTCAACCTTCAGAGCTTTTATGTGTTCAGTTGTGTTTTCCAGATGCAGTCTGTTCAGAACATACTGCCATTGCAGGGACCACCTGACAGCAGATTCTGTGGATTGGGCCGGAATTTGTAAGACAAGGCAGTGGGGAGGAATAAAACCAGGAAATTTCGTTGGTTTTCTTCTGAGCCTCAGGGAAGAGAAGTAATCGCTGCACAAATGTTAGGGCGCAGCTGAATTCCAGTGTGAGTGTGTGAGCGCTCATTCCAGCCCACACTGGTGTGAGGAGGAGCCCACACCGTGGGTTGTTGGTGAGTTTTACGAGCACGGGGGGGCAACGTGTCTCCATCAAACCAGGCGGTGGCCACAGCCGAGACTGCAGGCGGCACCAGCAGGGCAGAAAACATTCCTCCAAAAGGCTGGTTTTGCCCTTTTTTTTTTTTTTAATTCAGCCCCAGGTTTAAGCCAATATAGAAAACTTTCCATGGACAGTGCTTTGTTAGGCAGTAGAAATCTGAGTCATTAGGGATTATCATCAGGGGATTTGCTGTTTTCTGCTCTGGGGTCTGGAGTGCAGAGCTATGGCTGTGGGTACCCCTGCAGGGAACGACAGTCCTGCTTGGATGAGAGTGAGCTGCAGAGGACTTGGTGAGGCTGAGTTTTCCCACCTTTTCTGTCTTCCTTGTGTGCAGGTGGAAGGCCAGGCAGCTGTGGAACGTTCCTCCCCTGCTCCCATATCAGAACTGCAAGTAGCTCCTGCTGTGCTGTGGCTGGGGCTCACCTCCTGGTCCCAAGCAAAGCTGCTGTTCACACCAAAGCAGAGCTTTCAACAGCTGATGTCTCACTCACACTGTGCTCTTTCTCAAGGCTCTTGTGATATTCCCAGTTACCGGAATCTTCTGGTTCAAACTGAATTTATGATGTTGGAAAATGGTTTTTCCTGTTATGCAGAAACCCTCAGTTAACTTTGCTCTGTGCCTTTCCTGCTTGGAATGGCTGTTTCCTTTTACCTGTGCAGATGCTCATCAGTTCGCAGTGCAGGAAGCTAAAGGGACAGCCTGAGTGGCTGCTCAAGAGCAGAGTTTAGTGTGCATTTTTGAAGGGTCTGGGTATTGCTGGAGTGGGTTCTTCATCCCCTTAATTTACCTCAGACTGTTCAAGAGTAAACTATTTGCTCCATTACATAAAAAGTATCACTTAGCAGTCAGGGCAACTTTCATATAATCTCTGGACAAGCAGGCACTTGAACAGCATCAATGTCTCAGGGTCAAATAGTGAAGCTGAAATACCAGCTCTGATGACGAGAACTAGAAGGAACTGTTACTACAGATCTTTCTAGTTTGTGCCCACCTGCAGAGTTCAGTTTTGTTGTGATGTTAGATCCTACACAAAGCTGTCCATCACACGTCCTAGATCTGCAGAGCCTGGTTAGAGGAATATGTTAAACCTGCATCCTTGAGCTCTGTCTTGGTAAAACAGGGATCTGTAGTGAGGCCCTATCTGTGCGCTATGACTGCTTCGAATCACCTAGAAATACTGACTGTACATCTCCAAAACACCACCTGCCAGGGAAAGGAGTTTTCTAACCACAGGGAAAGGAGCAGTTTCTTATTGCTGGAATTGATATTTTTCAGACCTTCCGCCCCGCCTGTTCGGGGCAGCGGTGATGTTTCCACCTCCGCACTGCCTGGTGCAGGTTCCTGTTCCTCTTCTGCCAGGCATAGGCCTTGTTCACCACCACCTTGTCACTCTGTACCTCGCCACTTACAACAAAGACCCCGGCGTGAGTGCCCCTCATGATGTTGTGGGCACAGGTGGCATCAATGTCCAGCCACTGCTGGAGCCTGGAGGGGATTTCAGTCCTGAGGAGTGGGCCATGCTTCAGCACCTCCACCCTGGAGGGGTCCAGGTCAAAGTCCGAGATAGTGGTGGTTACATTCTTCCTCAGGATGCGGATCTTCACTGCTGCAGGGGTTGGAAAAAGAGCTGTTAGTTCTGTTTGCTTTTCATAGCTCTCACCTACCTGAACACAGAGAGCCAGCCCAAGACTTCTTTGCTGTCTCTGTAATGTGGGGAGGCATCTGTCCAAATTCTTGTAATTGTAGTGAACTTGTAAAAGTTCTCATCTGAGGTCAGTTTCCAGTACTGAACACTGTTCTTAAAGTCATAGAATTGTTTAGGTCAGAAATGACATCTACCATTGAGTCCAGCCATTAATCCAGCACTGCACAATCCACCACTAAACCATGTCCCCAAGTGCCACGTCCACATATCTTTTAAATACCTCCAGGGATTGTAACTCAACCAGTTGCCTGGGCAGCCTGTTACAGGGCTTGACAACCCTTCCAATGAAGATGTTTTTCCTAATACCCAATCTGAACCTCTCCAATCCAGCTTGAGGCCTTTTCCTTTTGTCCTACTGCTTGTTACTTGGGAGACTTCCTTCTCACTCCGTTTTCCTCTTAAGAGTGGCAGAGGTTTATCAGCACCATTGCATGGGCAGAAACCCTGTGGGAAGCACAGGCACAAGCAAGCAGTCCTGGTCTCATGCAAATTTACTTTTCTCTGAACTGGGATTTCAGGAGGTGACATGACTGACAGCTGCCCAGGATTTGTAAATTTTATTTTTAATTATTAAGAATATTTTTTACATGCGTGCCTAAATTCAGGACAGTATACTGAAAACTTTTTCCCAGTTGATTGAGCAGAGCCAGTGCTGCTGCCTGCTTGGGCTAGGAGAGGGAGAGGTACATTACTGGAACAACAGTATTGAAGTTTGAAATAGCCAGCATGGATTTTGCTAAAGGTTTTTGTGGACATACTGATTGAAATGCTGGTCTCAAAGGCAAAACCAGAGTAGTGCTTATTTTTAGCAGCCACAGACCAAAACCAAATCAGAGCCCACAGAAATAAAGCAGGTGTTCACTTTGGTGCTGCCTGGAGCCAGGCGCTTCTGCTGCCTCACAGGTAAGGTGGGACCTGAAACCACCTGGGATCTGCTGTAAAAGCTGCAATTCCTCCAAGTCAGTGTGTTGTGGCAAAGCCGTCTTCTATCCATGCCGCTGCTTGGCTGCTGAAGGGAACAGCAGCAATTGAGAGGAATAGGAGGGTACTCACCAAAATCATTGGCACAGAGGCTTTCCAGGATCTCCCTGGCAGTGCTGGTCTCCTCAAGCTCGCAGTCCTTGCAGCTGGCTCGGGGCACTGCTGCAACAGAAATTTGGTTATAACACCCTTGTCAAGCTTCACTGGAAAGCCCATAATGAAATTTTGAGATCTGCAAATGGTGGCTTGCTGCTTCCAAGTGATACTTCTTCCTGAGCTACCCAGTCCCTGCAAAGACATCTCAGACTGCCAGGGTAGGAAATGTTAAGCTCTCCTTCCCATGACTGGAGCAAGTCCCACTTGTGCTTTGTTCAGACTTCTGTGTGTTGGTGCATTTTAAAGCAATAGTGAAAATGCTTAATTAATATCTCCTCGTTAGGATGAAACATCAAAGCTAGTGCTGTAGCCAGACTCCATCCAGTGATGCTGAAATGATGTTGAAATGTCTGTTCTCCCCTTAACTGCTCTTGAATCTCCCCCAGGTTCATCACTATCTGGGTGTTAAATTTAGTCTTTCAAACAGTCAGCTTTTTTCTGGTGTAACTTATGCCTTCAGAGGCTCATGTTCCTGTGTGATGTTTCCCAATGTTTAAAGAAAAGGCTTGCAAAACGTTTCTTTTTGCATGTTTTTAAACCCTGGACACAACTGAAAGATCAGGGCTGCAGCTCCGCAGCTCTGCTGGAAGCACATCTCGCTGCCGGGAGCCTGCACTCCATGAGCTCTCCAGCTGTGCCTGGGCTGGAGGCTTTACAGCCATTCCTTCCCGCTGCCCCAAACCCTGCTGGGTCTGATGGCACCCAGGGAGCTAATGAATACAGCAGAGAGAGGAACAAGCCACAGTCAATGTTATGCTAATTTTCTAGACACAGTTCCCAGAGAGAACCAAACTACAATTTATGACTTCTTTTTTTTTAAATACAACTTAAAACCAGAAATATTCAGAATAGAAACAAGTCATAGGATCATCCTTTTGAGCTTTCAGTGTTACATATGGGAAAGTACATAAGGAAAAAAACTCTTACTTCTCCTGCTGGAGGCATTTTCATCCATGGAGACTGCTGCGATGCACAGCTCGTGATCTGCAGGGAACTTGTTGCAGTTCAGGATTTCGGGCCAGGGGTAGCCGTAACAAGCCATGACGGGCGCGCAGCTTCTCTTGACGGCTTCGCAGAGGCTGCGGCAAGGGTAGATGAGCCTGGGGAGGGGATGGGGGTTCAGCACCTCCACATGCCTGGCAGCAGGCTGTGAGGGGCGAGTCCTGGCACCACTGCTGCCCACAGGGCTGTGTTGCACACTGCAGTGCTGGCATTAATTGGAGATCTTTGATTTTTTTGAACATTCACATCCAGGCAGCAAACAACAAATTTCTGAGGACAGGAGGGATGAGGCTGTTCCATACAGGCTGCTGTTAGAATCCCTTTGCCCCCCACCTCCCCAGGGATCATCTCTAGTTATGTGAAGGCTGCTTACCTTTACAGGTGCCTGATTAGATACCCAGTTTTCTCAGCCCTCTGTACTTTGAGGGCTGCACTTCAGAATTGGGGATTTCCCTCTGCTGCTGGAACTGCTGGGCTGAGAAATCCCTACATGTTTGGGGAAGGAGCTGGGGTGAGGGGCTTCACGGGAGGTGGGAGGTGAAGCTGGTGGGTGCCAGCACCTACTGCAGTGAGCGAGGGGGTGGCCAGGCACCTGGGGTGGGAGAGCAGGAAAATCTAAAGGAGGGGACATAATACTTCTGCTCCTACAAGATGAAATGCTCATGTTTCACTTTCACCATGCTGAGAGGGGCAGCACGGCTTCTTGGGGACTGCACCGATCACATCACGTGCATTTTCTCTCCAGAGGCACGTGCAGTTGTGCTCTTGGGGAGAGTTAACTGTTACAGCTGAAATAACTTGTAAAAACATCTTACCTGTCCAAGCAGATTGGCGCAAAGAGGGAGCAGAGGAAGATCCTTGCATCTGGGTGGCACTCCCTGGCCAGTAAGGGCAACCAGCTGGAAGACTGCTGGATGACTTCTGTCATGGTCTCATGCTCCAGCAGGTTGGGGATCCTCATCTCGGAGTAGCCAATATCGTAGCACAAGGCCATGCGGTGTGGGATGGGCATGCAGCTGGAGGATCTCCTCAGGTAGCTCGCCCAGGCTCCTGGAGAGCCCCAGAGCAGCAGCCGCACCGTGAGACCCAGCAGCCATGGGCCACCCGCCCTCGAGGGGTGCCTGCGGTGGGCTGGGACCATGCTCAGAGCGGCAGGACGGGCAGTGCACCCTGGACTGAGCTGCTCCTGACTGTGGGATGCCTTTTATAGCCTAGGAGCCACCTCTCTGTCAATCCATCCTCATTAAGTGCGGCCCTTTCAGAGCCCTCATGGGGAAGACAATGCTCCAATTTTCGGTTGCCAGCGGCCCCGATTGTTTGTATTTTAGCAGGGGTTTGGCTTAGATCAGCAGGTGTGGAAATGAGGGCAGTTGGGGAGGGATGAATGACTTGGCCCATGTGTCTTGGGGCTCTTTTAGCCAAGATTGAATCTCTGTTTGACACCAGTGCTCCAACCCATCCCCTTTCTCTTGCTCCAGGATTAGTGTTATTTCATAAACCCCAATGTTTTCCTCTCTTTTGTTTTTTGTGAATGCAATCAAGTGTTGCTCAAAGTCAATTAGGAGGCATTTGTTTAGCTGGATCTATTGTTGAACAGGCAGGGAGATAGGATGGTCTCACAGCCAGAAGTTAACTGTTTAGGAGTGCTGAGGGCAGAGAGGAACTAATTTGCAGCTGTGGAGCCAGGTTGTTTGCGGATGGGATTGGCAGCACTCAGCTGGAAACCCTCTCACCTTGCAACCTGCATGACAGTGCACTTTCTGGTTAACAGAATTCCTACTTCATTCCGAAATCCTGTTACTACTACTGGAGAGCAGAATTGTCCTCCCTCCAGCACATAATTAAGATTCCATAATCCATCATTATTGTAGCCCAGTTTGGGGAGCTGGAAATACTGGGTGTGCTGGTTGCCAGAACACACAGTTCATTTGGACCTGGTGCCGTGCCACGAGGTTCAAACTGGTCAGTGGAAGCTCCAGCTCCGAAACATCCTCTGGCACAGAGACCCTGCGCTGCCTGTGGCGGAAATTGCTTCCTGGGAGGGTGTCACAGATACAGCTGGCTGCATTGTGTTCCTGGGGCTTCCCAGGAACAGCTCATTCTCTACAGGGCTAGTTCTGGGCTGTACTTAGCAAGAAGCCAACTGCTTATTGACAGCTTGAGCCGATACAGTTGATTTCAGGTCACAAAAGTAATTAATTTTTTTCCCCTCATTTGAGGATTGCTGCTGTAGTTTATTTATAATGTGTTTTTGGCACATACCTGCAGGAGCTCCAGGGAGGTGCAGTTTTGGAGAGCAGGACCTCGGGTCTAGGAGCACTTAAGCCGTCCTGTGTTGGTGGCTTTTCTTTCCCTTTTCAGAAATCTCAGTGGCTGGTAACAAGATCAGCACAGTAGTGACAGATACCAGCCTCAGATCCTCTCCACCTCCTGGGCCACAGTCTTAACTCTGCAATGGGACCTTGCCAGCGCTTTCCAAGTGCATGCCCAGTGTACCATGCAGCTAAAAATCTCCTCATGGTCATGGGTGTATTTCTCTGGATTTAAATGTGCTTGGGATCCTGGAACTGCCTGATTGCTGCTGGGTTTATGCTGCAAAGGAAAGCTGGTAATACCTGGGTATGGAGTGTGGCATCCTCCATGTGCAGTATCTTCCCCTTTAATATTGCATTTGAAGACCATTTTTAGTGGAGGATCAAGGGAATGAATGGGAAAAAGAATTTTTCTTCTTTCTGTTTGAGTTTCATAGTAGAGCACTGGGGCATGCTCCTCCAAATTATATGTGTGAAAGATACTTGGTTTTGTGCAAAGAACAAGGAAGCCTGAAACCCTGGCCATCACCACTGCCCACTGTAAAGATTTTTGGCCTCCCTTCCTGTAAAGCAGCAATTCCCAGACTGTGATTAACATGGCCCCTTTGAAATGGTAATATGCAGTGATATGCAGGTTTGTTCGCTCCTTTGTCCATTGTGGTATGTGTGAGAGAGTTTTAAGGGCTTGACCTCTGGATCCAAACACTTAGGAACTGCTGCTGTAAAAATACCTGCCTCCAGCAGCTCAGGTGTGTGGTGTGTGCTCTCTGAGAGCTCTTCTGGTAGAAGGCTGGATGTCTTTGAATGTCCCAAGTTTAGGCAGTTCCTAAATTACACTCCACCTCTTTTTTTTTTTTTTTCGCCCTGAGTCTCCTGCTGCTGGTATGGCATCCCATTGTAACAGTTCCTCAGTCTCTGTTGGTGCTCACACTTTTGCTTTAGAAATTCCCGACTTCCTGACAGAGGAGGAGTGCAAGCTCATCGTCCATCTTGCAAAGCTGAAAGGGCTGCAGAAGAGCCAGATCTTACCAACAGATGACTATGAGGAAGCCATGGAAATGATTGAAATCAGCCAGATGGACATTTTCAATCTCCTGGACCATAATCAGGATGGGCAGCTGCAGCTCAAAGAGGTAGAGTGTGGGACAGACGAGGGGTGGTTTGCTGGGCACCCTCCGGCAGGTCCCCTCCTCAGATGGTCTCTGGGTTACTCACATGCTTGGGTAAGGCAGACCCCAGTATAAACTGATCAGTATTTACTGGATTTTATGTCTCAAGGCCTGTTCTGGCCTTTCAGCATGGAAGTTTCTGGGGCAATGTGCAGCAGTTATCGTGCTGTTGGGAGGTAGCAGCAGTCCTTGGCAGGACACATGTGTTTTGAATATGCTGGATAAAATGTTCCTTGTGTTGTGGGTTGCCTCTTGCTGGGTGTCCCAGGAAGTGAGTTTGTCGCCTGGGCCCTGCTTTGTGCAGCCTGTGGGAAACTCCCTGTGTGAATTCACAAGCCCCAGCAAAGCCACCCCTATTGAGGAGCCCAGGGGGGATAATGAGGCACATGGTCCACAGCTCTTCAGCACCCTTGCCCTTTATGGGAGGGTGCATCAGGGCAAGTCCTGCCAGTTCAAGGATGTCCCTCCCTAAGTTCCCATTTCAGGTGGAGCCAGGGGTCTGACTCATCCTATGGGCCACAAGTGTTGTAAAGTATGGGGAACTGCACCACTGACAACCCAGGGCAAGGCTCCTTTCTCTGGAGCCTGCTAGGAGTTCTTCAGGATTCTGCATCTCTGTACACATGAAAAGGAAGCATTTTGTTCCAAGCCCTTAACTTGGACAAGTAAAAGCATTCACTTTTATCATGAATAGCTTTACTTTCCCTTCAAGAGAAAGAGCTGTGCCCCCTCCACCTCAGGGCTGGTTAACCAAGTCCCAGCAGTCATTTGCCATGACCTAAACTGGAAATAACAGCGCTCACCAGCCACACTCTGTGTGTGGCTGCCAGATGATTCTCACCGCAGTCGTGTTTCTGCGGAAATGTGCCGATGCCTGGCTGGCTCTGCAGAGGAGAGCCTGCCAGGCCTCACACAGGGAATCTGCAGGGGTCTGGGAGTACAAGAAACCAGTGCCCTGTGTTGATCCATTTATGAATTTCAGGTGTTGACCCACACCCGGCTTGGGAACGGCAGGTGGATGACACCTGAAAACATCCGTGAGATGTACACAGCAGTCAAGGCTGATCCTGATGGGAATGGTAAGATGAGCTTTTTGGGAATCCCTTTTGCCCTCAGCTCGTTGGATGCCTCACACAGCCATGTGGGTCAGAGCAAGAGCCGTGTCCCCTGCCCTGGCCTGTTTCTCTAACTGAGTTCTTCAAAGGAGAGTAACACTGCTTTAGAGACCTCCTCAGGAAAGTAAACTCAGTGTAAACCTGATATCACAGCACTCCTGCCCCTGCATCACCAGTCTAACAGCAGACTGGTCCCACCACCTGGGCTGGGGTCTTGCAGGAGCAGGACCAGAACACAACTGTGCACTCCCTCTCCCCTGTCAGACCTGCCTTGGTTCGTGCCCCATAGTAGTAAGACCTTCAGGGTGCACTTTTGCTCTCCTGGTCTGACAGACTGCTCTGGCTCTGACTACAGAGCTCTTGTTACCTGGGATGCAGGTGTTAGGACACACCTTCCACCCTCACCTTCTGCAGCAGGCTGGGAGTCCCATGTCACTGGCAGGGGATGGTGGAATAAGTGAAGGTGAGGATGGTCTTGTCAGGGTTTTTTGGTGACTCCCCTCTCTGCCGCTGCAAACTCTCTGTATTCCATGAGGCCACTTCTGCCCCTCCTGCCCCTGGTCTCCCTAGGGCTCCCACTGTCCGGATGAGCACTCTAACCTCTGCTGCTCTAATTAGAGTGGCCTCAATTAAGCAGCACTCCATTTCCTAATCAAATTAAGTGAATGCACAGGCTCTGCATGCTCTCTTCCAATGACCTGGCATTGAGAACTGCCCAGGAGGAGCTGCTTTGGAGTTGAAACAGTACCAGTGTGAATGCATAAATATCCGGAGGGCACCCTGTGCCCTCTCCTCCAGGCTGGTGGCATTCTTGGCAGGGGTATGACTGAGTCCTCAGTGGCTTTTCCACCATTCTGGACATTAACAAATGAAAGGTCCTGTTAAAGGCCTCTTGGCAGGACCTTGCTTCCAGAGTGCTGCTTCCCTCTGTTGTTAGATTGGTACGTGACACTGAGGGACCAGGTCACAACCTGGATGTGGCCCTGCGTCATCAAAGACCATGGGGAGTGAGGGGAAGTGGGGACAGAGACACTAGGAATAATAACAGTGGATCATTTGGTCACAACCACTGGCACCTGAGGAACTGTCCCAGGATGACCCTGGTGGCTGGTCCTTCCTGCTGCTGGGGGGTGCTGTGCCCAGGGAGCAGAGCGGGTGCCCAGCAGTGCTGGGTTTACTGCCTGAACAAGCTCCACTCCCAGCCCATGGTGTGTGCTGGCTGCTGGGCAGCACAGGGCACTGCACTGCACGCTGGTGTCAGGACCTGGTCCCCAGTGCGAGGCCTCCCTTCTCCAGAAAGGGGAAACAACAAATGTGAGGACTTTTCTGAAGCCAAATAAGGCAAAAGTCCACCCCTTGCTGAGTCCAGTTGAGTTCTCCTGTTTTAGGAGCTTTTTAGCTCTTACTTTTCTTTTACTTCTACCTACACAAGATCATACTCTGATGTATTCCTCACTCGTGTTTTGCAATTACACAAATGCAGGGGGATGTACTGCTTGTTTCAGGTTTGGCTTTTTTTTAATTACCCCACAGGTCATGTGGAAAAGTGGGCTGAGGTGTCCTATTCTGTCCTTAAATGCATTTATTTAAGTATCTAAGTAACAAGCCCCAAGTCACTGGGTGGCTGTTTCTCTCTGTTCATGGATTGCTTTGTGTGTTTTAGGAACTTTTTAAAGGTCAGAATGGTGCTTTTCCTGTCCCAGTTCTGACCCTGCATGGTTCACTTTGGCAGGTTGCTGTATGTCCTCTGCTGTGGGTGAGAGCATTTCTGGGGCCTGTGATCCTGGGTGTAGGGAGTACAGAGCCTGTGGTGGGCACAGGACCCTGACTGGGGTCTGTTTGAGGAGGGCAGTTTCTGCAGCACCCTCAGCTGTTTTTTCTCCCAGTACAGAATACCAAAAACTATTACCTGCACCAGAGTCAGGCAGCTTTTCCTCTGTTCCCGTAGGTGTGCTGAGTTTGGAGGAGTTCAAACAGTTGAATATCCGTGACTTCCATAAGTACATGGGAAGCCAGAAGGTGAAGATGAGTGACCTGGTGCGCAACAGCCAGCACACCTGGCTGTACCAGGGCGAGGGGGCACACCAGGTCATGAGAGCCATACGGCAAAGGTAAGGGCCAGGCCCGAGGGGGGGCTGGGTTTGGGGAAGCACGAGGATCACCTGTGCTTGGGAGAGGCAGGGGCAGACTTCGCTAACATCCACATTTCCTACTTGTGCGAAAGTCTTTGGAGTATAAAGACCAGTGAACAGAGACACAAAATGGGAAGAGAAGGTTTTCATTAGAACAAGAATTTGTATTGTCCCGTGGAAAGGGAAAAAGAAAAATCAGACCTTTCAGCGTCTCCATTCACTTTTGGGAACAGCCCTATAAAACCAGGAAGATTTGGCAGTATATGAAATACTTCATTCTAATTAGTAAATGAGCTTACTGGGAGAAGCTGCCCATTTCCAATGCTGTCTGGGTGCCAGTAGTTACTGTCATTTGCTTTAGTTACTCATGCATTTCACTGAAATCTGTCTTAGCTATTCAGAACTGACTTTTTAACAAGCACGACTTCACCTAAAGTAAGCCAATCCTCCAAGCACACATACTGTAGGGCAGCTTACAGCAGATGGAAGAACCTTTTACTCTTCCCTTCATCTCAGATGAAACATGGCACTCAGGCCAAATTGTGTAGCATTGGTGAGTTTCACATAGTTGGCTGGAGAGTCTCTTGTTCTTGTGGTGCTGGTCTTCACCCAGAACATGGGTGGGTAAAATCTGTCCTGAGGCTTGAAAATGGCTGTTGGCCACTCCTTTTCTTCAGCGCATTCCAGCGGGAGAATGGGGTCACATATTGCCTCGATTAGAGCAGACTGTGGCTGCCACCTTCTCCATGCCAGCCACCACACACACCATGTATCAGCATTCCACTTGGACGCTCCTCAGTTGGCTCTTAGAAGGATGTGAAGACATGGCACTGAAGGAGGCTGTTAGTCCTCCCTGGGACCATGCAGTGCCTGGAGGGGCTTTGCCATCCTGCCCAGGTGCCATGTTCTCCTTGCACCTGCCCCAAGGGCTTCAACTGGTCCCGATTCTCAGAGCTCTGAGTGTTCTTTGGCAGGTCTCAAGACGTACCTGCTTACCTTGGGGATGATCTCAGATGTAGCAGTGGAAAAATCCCAGAGCAGGAGGGCTCCGGTCTCCTTGATCACTTCCAGTGCCCCTCTGCCCTGGGGGAGGCTGCTGCAAAGGCAACAGGGAAAGGTGAGTTAGGTGACAAGACTATTCCTAGAGCTAGTCTCTCGTTCACTCTCAGCAGGGGCCCTGTGCTTTGCTAACTGTCCCTGAGGTCTGTAGGTGGTGTGCAGGAGTCCAGAGAAGTGATGACACATGAAGGCTCCAGGGACACGCACAGAAAGAAAGGATCTTGCTGAGCAAGCAAAGTCTTCCTGAGAGCAGTGCTGCTGGAGATGCATCCTTCGGTTTTGTTTTTTTGTTTTTCTTTATTAACCTTGACAAGGGCTTTCTGACTGATACTGATGGACCAACAGATCTATAAGGATCTATAAGGTTATCTCTTGGCATGCAGCCATCCGTGTCTCCGGTCTATTGGGGAAGGGGGTTCTCTTTCTCTACATTTATTCACTGCTTGGGAGTAGCATCTGAGCAGGGCGAGGGTGCTTCCCGCTCACCTGCCCTGCTCTTCCCCAGGGTGATGCGCCTGACTCGCTTGCCCCCCGAGATCGTGGAGCACAGCGAGCCCCTGCAGGTTGTGCGGTACGACCAGGGAGGGCACTACCATGCCCACATGGACAGTGGTCCCGTGTTCCCCGAGACTGCCTGCAGCCACACGAAGCTCGTCGCCAATGAGAGCGCTCCTTTTGAGACCTCCTGCCGGTAAGCTCTGCCCTGACATGGTCTGAAACGCCTCAGAGAAGGGGTGTGGAGGGACATTTCACCCTGCCTTGCATGAGACTTGGTGCTTGGGTTATGGGGCTCACAAATCAGCTCAGGAGATCACTGGCATAAAGGGATCTGAAGGGGAAGGTGGGCAAATCCTGTGGGACCTCACAAGGAGGGCAGAGTGACATGCACAGCTGCTGGGTCATCCCCACCAGAGCCTACAATCACACTCTCAGTGTTCTGGGTGGGGATTTTCTTTGTTGTCCTTGTGTTATTCTTTGAGAAAAGCTGATGGTGTAAATCACGTGCCTTATTATGTCTTGGAGGAGCTGCTGCATGTGTGGTGGAGGGGCAGGGTGTGGGGAGCCCCTGTGCCCCTCCTCCAGGTGTTCCAGGAGTGCCCCCTGACAGTCCCTCTGTCTTGCAGGTATGTGACTGTGCTGTTCTACCTGAACAATGTGACTGGAGGAGGCGAGACAGTCTTTCCTATTGCTGATAACAGGACGTACGAAGAGATGGTAAGTGAACCTCACCTTCATGTTACCTCTGGGGATTCTGAGTCTGTCTTTGAATGTCTTCATTCACTGTGGCTGCAGAAGGGGGCTGGTGTGTGAGGCTGGTGAGCGTTAGGGAAGCTGTGCTCTGCTTATGGTCTCTCTCTGAGGCCAAGGGAAGAAGCACAGGGCTTTGACAGCTGCAGCTCTCCCTGCTCAGAGGTGTGAGGGGCAGTCTCTTGGTCTTGCTGCCACAGCATGAGTTGTGCTGGCTTCTCTCTGTGCAGGTTTCCTCAGACTAAGCCTTGGCAGGTATGCTGTGCTCCTGCTAGGCAATGGGTTAAGGAATGGACCTCCAGGGGACCGAAACAGGCTGCTCTGGGTGGGTTGTGAAAGCCCCTGTGTCACCCTTGAGCTGTCCCTGTGGGGCAAGGAGCAGGGTAATGGCTGGCAGCAGGGACAGCCCAGTGTGTGCGCCTCATTCCAGCCCCGCTGGTGACACCTTCCCTGTGGTTCCTCCCCAGTCTTTGATCCAGAACGACGTTGACCTGCGAGATACTCGGAAAAACTGCGACAAGGGCAATTTACGAGTGAAACCTCAGCAAGGCACTGCTGTCTTCTGGTACAACTACCTGTCCGACGGAGAAGGTATGGGCTTGTTTCAAGAGTTGTCTCTCGAGAGGGGTGGGACTGCAGGAGGTGACAGCCATCGTCTTCTTGCTGTAGCTGAGAGCTCAGAGAACAGCCAAAGGGGGGTAGCTGCCTGCTAGTGGGAACTGTAGAGTCTTCTTGTCACCAGCTGGGTAGGAGCTTCCTGACTCTGAAAGGCCTTTGTTTACAGGCAGTAGGTCAGTGGCTCCTGATGTCTTTGGGGAACAGGACTAGCTAGCAAACAAAGACCTTGGCTGCACTCGCTACCGCCAGCTGCCTCCCATCCTGCTGTGCGAGCTGAAACTCCTGCTGGAACTTGGTCTGCAATTCAAAATGTGTCACTGATGTGGTGTTGCCCAAAGGGGTGGGAAGGGGAGGTAGACAAAGGCACGGCCATCAGCTCTGCAGCACAGGCAGGCAGGGGCCACCCCACACAAGGCTTGGGGCTGACGCCTGCTTTGTAGCTCAGCCACAACCCTGTGGTATCTGTCCTTGGGGCTGTTTTTGTCATGAAGCACAGTGTGGTTTGCCCTGACAGGCTGGGCTTTGACATGAATATTCCAGGCTGCTGGTGAGCATGGCTCCAGAGAGTTTTGATGGCAGATTTTGAGTTGTGGAAGAAGTATAAACTCCCAGGGCCCCTGGGAGCAGCCCGTGTTTCCATCTCTAGAAAATCCACAGAGAAGAGGTCACAAGACCAGTGTTGGGCTGTTGGGTGAGAATATCAAGAGCATCACTCTGCTGTGAGAAGAGCCCTGTTGTGATTTTATGAGCAATTTGTTCCTAAATGGAAAGTAGCTGCTGATGCAAGTCTGTCACAGAAAAACCATGGGACCTCTATAAAGAAAGGGTAATGCAAAACTGCTGAAATGCAATCTCTAAAATGGCCATCAGCCTCCGACTTCTACAGGCCTTCTAACGACAGCACTTCCCTCTTCCATGCCAGCCTCCCTTTTTGGGAAGAGTTGAGAAAAACAGCTGCTGTGATGCAGAATGCAAGAGCCCCTTGTGCTGAGTGGAGACAAGGAGTCAATGAGCATTTTGCACCCAGGAGAGTGCCGTGGTGAACTCCTCATAGGCGCTAGGGTGGGGTGGCACTAAGATGGAGGGGTGCCAGGAGGAGCAACTCCTGTCCGATGTATCTCAGCTCAAATCCAAGCAGGCATTGTGGGCAGGAGAGCTGACATCGGTGTTTGCTGGCCAGGTGTCCCTGCGCGGTCCCGGCTCTGCCTTCCCTCCTTGCCACCTTCTACCAAGGCTCTACTCTTTTGCAGGCTGGGTGGGGGAGCTGGACGACTTCGCCCTGCACGGGGGCTGCCTGGTCACCCAGGGCACCAAGTGGATCGCCAACAACTGGATCAATGTGGACCCCAACCGCCGGCGGCAGCAGCAGTTCCAGCAGGAGATGGAGCGCTACGCGGGGGCAGGGGCCGATGCGGGGGCCGGGGCAGGAGCCCCGGGCGAGTGGACAGTGGACAAGGCCTACAGCGGGGTGCACTTGGAGCTGTAGGCGCGGCCGCGCGCACGTGGCCTTTTCCCGCGCTGTGCGGGGGGCGGGGCCGCGGGCCACGTGCGCGGCGGGGCCGCGTCGCGCGCCAATAAAGCGTGGAGAGACGGAAGCCACCTCCGCGTGCTCTGGGGGCGGGGCCGGGGGCTCGGCCAATGGGCGGGGCCGGGGCGGGGGCACGCGGGGATCGGCCAATGGGTGAGGACGGGGCGACGGCGGTGCTACCAAGATGGAGTCGGTGGCTCTGGTGGCGCCGGTGACGGCGCTGGAGTTCGCGGGGGATGCGCTGCTGGCGGGTGAGCGCCGGGACCGGGACGAGGTGGGCGGTGGGAGCAGCGGCGGCGGCAGCTGACGCGGTGTTCCCCAGGCACGGGCCCGGAGGTGGTGGCGTTCCGGCTGAGCGGCGGCGGGACGGCGGCGCGGCGGAGCGTGCTGCGTGAGGCCAGCGTGCAGGGGCTGCGGGCCGAACGGGGCCGCGGGACGGCGGTGCGGGTGGTGGCGTTCGGCGGGCGGTGGCTGGCCGTGCTGGCGGTGCGGAGGGGGGAGCCGCAGCTGGCTCTGTGCGGGGCTGCGCGGGAGCTCGGGGCGCGCGTGTGGGAGGCGCGGTGGGCACCGGGCGGGCGGCTGGCGCTGGCGCTGGGCGGCGGGGCCGTGGCGCTGTACGAGTGGCGGGGCAGCGGGCGCTGGCTGCAGCGGACGAGCTGCGGCGGGGCCGGGGCGCTGCGCTGCGCCGTGCTGGCCGGGGCGGGCTGGGAGCGCCTGGCCCTGGCGGCCGGCACGGCGGCGGGGGCCGTGGTGGTGTGGCGGGCGGCGGCCGCGGCGGCCCGCGGCAGGAGCTGCGCGGGCACCGGGGCGCGGTGTTGGCGCTCTGCTACTCGGCGGCGCGGGGGCTGCTCGCCTCCGCCTCCGAGGACCGCAGCGTGAGGCTCTGGGCCGTGGGCAATCTGGTCGGCGGAGACGGGGACGGCTCCTGCCTGCTGGTGTGCTACGGACACGGGGCGCGGGTGGCCGCCGTGGTGCTGCGGGGGCCGCTCCCGGTCAGCGCGGGGGAGGACGGTGCCTGCCTGGAGTGGGGAGGCAGCGGCGATGTGCGGCGGGAGCGGCGCGGGCACCGCGGGGCCCTGCGCGCCCTGGCCCTGCGCTCCGCCGGCGGCCGCCTGGCCACGGGCGGCGACGACGGCGGCGTTCGGCTCTGGCAGCCCCGGCGGGCGGCCCCGGCGACGGTGACGGCGCTGGGGGCCCCGGAGCGGCCGCGGGCCGTGCTGCTGGCGGGACCGCGGCGGGTGCTGGTGCTGGGCGAGGCGGGCGGGCTGGCGGCGTTCGAGACGGCTCAGGGGTGCTGGGTGCCGGTGTTGCCCGCCCCCGCCGCCGGCGGGACCCGTGCCGTGCTGGCGGCCGCCCCTCTGCCCGGCGGGGACGAGGCGCTTTGCGCCCTGGGCGACGGCGACGGGCGCCTCCTCCTCTTCGCCCTGAGCCGCCCCGGGACCGCCGCCTCGCTCAGGCTGTTCGAGGGGGCCGTGCGCGGCCTGAGCTGGGCCCTCTGCCCGGGCTGTCCCCCGCCACCGCTGCCACCCTCCTGGCCTCCGGTCCCGAAGGGGAAATGCTCTGGCTGGACGTTGCCCACCGCCCCGGGCAGGCACCCTGCGTGCGGCTCATGGGACGGTACCTGCTGCCCCCCTGCAAGCATCGCTGGCACACCTGCGCTGCCTTCCTGCCCCAGGGAGAGCTCCTGGTCTGTGGCGACCGCCGGGGCTCCCTTCTCCTCTTCCCTTTCAGCAGCTCCTCGGGTCAGGCTGCAGAAAGCACCAGCATTGCCAATGGTGTCACTGACTCAGTCAGTGAGGACTCCAGCAGCGAGTTGGAGGCATCTTGCTTGTCACACAAAGGAGTTCTTCCCCTTGAGTCCCCGCTGTCTGTGCTCTTTGGGCTCCATGGGAAGACAGGGGTTACCTCAGTGACCTACCACAAAGGCTATATTTACAGCACTGGCCGTGATGGTGTCTACCGCCAGCTCCACCTGCGGGACCAGCAGCTGGAGGTTCTGCGGAAGCACAGGCCCTGCAAAGGGCTGCAGTGGATCGAGGAGCTGCGTTTCACCCCAGATGGGGACCTGCTCGTGCTGGGCTTTCACGCTGACAACTTCGTGGTGTGGAGCAGCAGGACTAGTGAGAACCTCCACTGCATCCCCTGCGGGGGTGGGCACCGCTCCTGGAGCTACTGCAGCAGCCCCTCAGCTGAGGTCTTTGCCTTCATCAAGTCTGGGGATGTGATGCTGTACTGCTGTGAGGCCGAGCCACGCGAGCAGCAGGTGCTGCTGGGGTCCCTGCACGGGCGGCAGATCACCTGTGTGCGGCGTCTGGGGGCCATGGAGGTGCCCGGCCATGCTGCCCTTAACGTGCTGGTCACCGGCAGCGAGGACACCACGGCCTGTGTCCTGGTGCTCAGTGAGCACTCTCGGGCGGCCGTGCCCCTCGTCCGCCTCAGTGACCACATTTCCAGTGTGAGGACGCTGGCACTGGCCAGCCCCACGGGACCTGGAGACGAGGGCTTTGTTGATAAGGGCTTGTCTGCCCTGCTTTTCTCTGCGGGGGGCCGGGCGCAGATCGAGTGCTACCGGCTGCTGTGTGCTGGGGACCCAGAGAGTGCTGTGGAGAGCCTGGAGAGTGCTGTGGCCTGCCAGGTCATCCATGTGGCCTCCCACCGGCTGGACGAGCACTGGGAGCGGAAGAAGAACAGGCACAAGCTTGTCAAGATGGATCCGGAGACAAGGTGATGCTCAGGGACTGCCTGAGGCAGGGTTAGTAGTGACCATGATCTGGGAGGGTGATGAGAACCACGCTGGCCTCCGCTGGGGTACTGCTCTGTGCAGCTGCATGCTCAGCTGAGGCAGACTGAGCTAGTGTGGCTCCACGTGTGCATCCTTGGTGCCCTGTGTGCTGTGGCTGGGACTCGAGGGGCTTTTGGGGCTAGGCCAGTCTTTCCTTGTGCCTTCTCCAAGTACTCAGAGCTGCATCCAGCATTGGGCTTGGGCTGCTCTCCTGGACCATCCACCTCCTGAGGACCACAGGTGTCACCAAGGCATTGGTGAGCATTGTATCTTTGCTGCAGGTACATGTCCCTCTCTGTTGTGCCTGGCACCAGCACCAAGCAGCTGCTGCCACCTTGGAAGTTCCTGGCTGCTGCCTGCAGTGATGGATCAGTCCGGTAAGGAGCCGTGGTGCATTCTGGCAGGGAGAACAGAGGTGGTGGTGGAAGCAGAGCAGGCTGCTGCCATGGACGTGGCCTGTTGGAACAGAGCAGTGCATGGTGGAAATTGGGGCAGAGATGCCAGGAGCTCCTTTTTCCTACAGCCAACTGCCCTCTGCTCCATCGCAGGGTCTTTGGGCTGCTGGAGGCTGCTCGGAATTTGGTGCTGGTGGCAGAGTCATTTCACCACCAGCGCTGTGTGCTGAAGGTAGAGGCGTTCCTGCACACAGGGACAGGAGGGGAGAGGTGAGCCCCGAATACTGGGCTGTGCAACCAACAGGGTCTGGGGAGAAGCATTTCTCCTTCTGGGGATGGCAGCTCAGCCAGGGGAGGGAAGGGAGGAGGTCAGGGGGGCTGTTCTGCCATTTCCACAGATCTTGGTGGGGACCCTCAGGGCTGTGGCCAGAGGCTCCCCCTACACCTTCCTTCTAGGAGGCACCTCCTGTGCAGTGCAGCCACTGATGGCAGCATCGCCTTCTGGGACATCACCGGCCCTATCACAGACGCGACAGATGCCCTGCACCAAGCGGAGGGGGACATGCAGCCCCTGGGTGGGTGTCACAGCCAGCAGCCCTGCTCTGCCTCCCGAGGGCGGCCACACTGGTGGCTCCTCTGCTCCCTCTGACCAAGGTGAGCATCGCTGTCCTGACCGAGCCTGTCTTCCCAGCCCTGGGTGCCCCGCTGCTCACCATCATGGCCCACAGCTGCGGTGTGAACAGCCTCCATGTCAGCAAAGTGCCAGAGGGACAGTACCTGGTGGCCAGCGGCAGCGACGATGGCTCCATCCATGTCTGCCTGCTGGAAGTGGCCCTCGGCAGGAGCGAGGCAGCAGCAGGGACCTGCCTGCAGGTCCTGGAGCGGGTGTCCAGGCCCTGTGCCCACGCTGCCCACATCACAGGGATCCGGGTGCTGCGACCAGACCTGCTGCTCTCGGCCTCAGTGGATCAGCGCCTGACGCTGTGGCGCCGGAGCCTGGGGAAGCTGGTTCCACTCAGCACCACCTTCTTCCATGTGCCTGACCTGGCTGAGCTGGACTGCTGGGAGGTGGTGGAGGCGGGGGGGGAGCTGCGGTACTACTGCGTGCTCTGCGGGCAGGGCCTGGAGATGCTGTGCAGCACAGCCCCCTCTGAGCCCCCGCCACTAGAGGCTCCCCAGGAAGGGGACAGGTGTGCAACACATCCCAGTCCCTGCCTGTCTCGGGAGGGCACTCTGCACTTTGGTTCTGCCCATCACTGCAGTCCCTGCCCCCAGCCTGCACAGTGATGTGTCCCCTCCTTAGGCAATGGGCATGCTTGGCTCCGTCAGGGGCAACACAGCCACATCAGGGGTGCTCAAGGCCAGTGGTCTCAGGGGAGAAGGCAGATGTGACCCCTCCTGGACAAGCCTGTGGCTTCCCAGGCAATAAAGAACGGGGGTTGTCAGCTCTCCCTGCCCAGGAGAACCTCCTCCCCAAGGTGTGAGGGACCCATGTCCAGGCTTTCCAGCCCTGGTCTCAGAGAAGAACCTGCTCAGGCGGCTGCTTAGGGCCCTGCCCAGCACTGGGAGCTTGAGGGCAGCAGGAGGCCAAGAAGGGTAAGGCACTGGTGGGCTGCAGCCTGGTACACCCTGGAACAGGGCCCTGTTCCAGCCTTGCCCCTGCAGTGCTGAGGATGGTGCTGAAATGCACAGGGACACTGATCCTCTGCAGCACCCTGGGGGGGGCCCACACATGACCATCACCTTCAGAGCAGCCTTTCAGCACTGTCAGGCCAAGTGAGTTGTTCCTGTGCAGCAGCAGGTGGAGTAAGGGAAGAACAAACAGCTCTGAGGTCAGACAAACACAGTGTTTGCCCAGCAAGAAGTGTATTGGACCCTAGTATTGGGGCTTGGGCCAGGTTCCAGCAGGAGCCTGGAACTTCAGGAGCTCCCTGCCAGCACGGAGCAACCTTCAATAAACAGTTTAGAGGGAAGTGATTGTTGGTGCCTGGGTTTGTGGCTACTGGTCCCTTGTGCCCTCTCTCTCAGTGTTCCCAGCATAGCTTGTGGGTGCCACAGGAGCCCTCCCTTTCCCTTCACACTGGGCACAGCTGCAGGGAGCACATGGCCAAGCCCCAAACAGCACAGGCCCTGGGAGGGGAAGCGCCTTCATGGGCTGAAGTGTCCCCTGGCTGGTGCTGAGACAGCCCCTCAGCCTGATGGTGACAGCACGCCTTGTCCTCCCCTAACAGCACATTGTCCAGGTGCCTGTCACATCACGGCACAGTTCTTCATGGGGGGGCTCAGATCTGGTTGAGAGGAGGGAGGTGCAGAGTTGCCAGCGCGCTATGGAACACATCCCTCACTGCTCCCAGCAGCCGGAGGCGGGCAAACATCTGGTCAAAGAGGTGAGGGAACGGCTCCTGTGGGGAGAAAGGCAGCAACTGGGGCTGGTGGCCAAACTGCCCCTCAGCAGGCTGGCCCTAGAGGCACTGCTGCCTCTGCACCCATGGGGGCTGGGCAGGGGTGCATCACATACTGGCACCCCAGAGCCCATTTCCCCACATGGCTGCCCCCAGACTGCAGTCAGCCATAAGGCTGCATGCTGAGACATCCAACTCACCCCCAGGACATGCACCCGGTTGTAGTAGGAGCTGAAATCCATGCTGAGCTGGATCAGGAACTTGCACACCTGCAAGGCAGACACATTTTGATGGCACAGCAGGTTCTGGCCAGTCTTGGGCTCTCCCCCAGCCCAAGCACATCAGGAACAGCCCCAGGGGTGTTGCAGTCTCTTCCCTCAGCACTAGACTGTGTTGCTCACTGATGGGCAGCACCTGCTGGCATGGAGCGTTGCCCTAGGCTGAGACTGTGGGAGCAGCACCCATGGGTGCTGTGGCATGTAGCACTTACTGTCTCTGTGTTGGCTGTGATCCGGATCCCCTTGGAGGGTGTGGGCAGCTGTGCTGCCTGCTGCAGGACTTCAGGAAAGGGCAGGAGATAGTTGAAGAGCAGGAGCCATTCACCCTGTGAAGGGACAATGTGTTTTAGGGCCAGATTCTCCTGGGTTAGTAGCATCCATCACTGGACCTGAGGGTGTGGAGGTCCCCACATTCCCCCTCTCAGCACTCACCTCTTCCCGGAGGCAGGAGAAGTTCAGTTCAGACACTGGTGGCAGAGGTGGGTATGTGCCTGGAAAGAAGGGAGACTACTGTGCCTGGAGGAGCCCCCGTGGCTCCACAAGTAGCTGCTAGAGGAGGGTTGGTGCTCACCCTGCTCCACAGCCCGCTGGAAGCTGTCGAAGAGCGTGGCCAGGCGGGCACAGTTGTACATCACAAAGGCGCCGCTCTTGGTTCCCTTCGTGGAGATGCTGCTGTTCTCCAGGTCCAGGGTGATCTAAGGGCACAGGCAAGTCACAGTGCAGGCTGCTGAGTGCAGAGCTGTTGCACTGTTCCCACAGCTGCCAGCCTGGGCTCCCTGCACGCCACTGTCCTACCTGGCTCCGGTGAGCAGTGCTCAGCATCTCAAACCTGATGGCCGCTGCTGTCAGGGTATCAATCACCTCCCTCCAGGCCTCATCTGGAAAATGCAGGTGGCATCAGTTGGCTCCATTTCCATGTAGTGACACCCCCAGGCAGGACACCCCACCTGGGGCCAGACGCTCCAGTGGAAGCTGGGGACCACCACACTTCCCCAGCCCCAGCCCCCATCAGAAGGGGCTGCTCTGTGCCGGTGCCCTGTGTGTTTAGGTGCCTTCCCCAAGCAAGGTCAGCACCTGGCTCCATCCTGGAGGGGAGAGGGAGCACTGTGCAGGGGAGAGCCCTGACTGGCTGTGAATTCAGAGGTGAGGGGGGAGACTCATGGGAGCAATTCAGATGGGATGGAGCAGCATCTGTGTGTGGAGCCACAGAGCAAATCCTCACCTTGTGCAAGCTCCCCGTACTTCATCACTGAGGCTTCATACATCTGGCGCTTTCGGAGCCTGGGAGAAACACAGAAGACACTCAGAGCAGCTCTGGACTGAGCTGCTCCCAGAGAGAACCCCATGGCTCTGCCAGCTTTCAGGCTGCTTGAGGCTTCCCAGCTGCAGCAGCGACTCAGCTAAGCAAAAGCAGCACAAAAGCCCCAGGAGCACAGCAGAAACAACCACACCCCAGCCAAGCCCCTGGGCTGCTGCCTGGAGCGGGCTGTGAGGGACCACCCAGCTCCTGCCACTGCCTTTCCTCTTGGCAGCACCAAGGGACAGGAGCAGCACTGCTGGAGAAGGCACCTCCAGTTCTCCTGAAACAGCCCTGTGGCCATGGAAAGCAGGATGGAGGGAATGCACTGAGCTCTCTGTGTGCCAGAAGCTCACTCAGCCCTGACTGTGGGTGCCTGGGTGCCCACGGGGCTGGGGAGAGCACAGGGAGCCTTGGCAAGCAAGGGAGCAACAGGTGCCTCGCACACCAACTCACTGGAAGTACTGGTCTGCCCCAATAGGCGATGAGGGGTTGGTCACCTTCACTGGTCCACAGACAAGGTGTTTCTGAAAGACAGAGGGGCTGTCAAAGACTCAGAAACTCGACCAAAATGCAGTGCAGGAAAACTGGGTGAAATCCAGCCCTGCTCTAAACCTAGTCCAGAGCACAGGGATGCCGGGGCCACAGTGAGAAGGGTCAGAGGTTGCTCACCTGCAAAGCTGTGTGGGCTCCCGGGTCCAAAATTCTCCAGAGCAGATCCAGCTGCTGCTGCTGGAATTCCTCCTCACAGTTCACCACATGCACGATGCTGCAGCAGCTACCCAGGCCCTCAGCCTGCAGCAGAGCACAGCAGGGAGCTCAAATGATAGGTATTGCCTGGCAGAAGGGAATAACACCTGGGAAGTGAGAGGTAGGCAATGCCACAGGGTCACTCACCCGGCACTGCTGAACAACTTGCTGCAACTCAGCCAGGGATCTCAGCATCCCCTCTGTCACTGAAAGATGGAAGGACACAGATTGGGACACAAGGGTTTGCCACCCCCTGCCATCCCACACCAGTGGGTCTCCCCCAGGCTCAAACCAGACTGAAGGGGAGTAAGAAGGGAAGGAAATTTGTGTACACAACCCCCTTATTTTCAGTAAAAAACAACTGAAAAGAAAGGAAACAGGCCTGTTTGCACCCATTCACCCCCCACTGCCACACCTGAGCTGCTCTACACGTGAAGCTCACCGAGAAGCACATCCAGGTTGGGGTCATAGCCCACCAAGCCCTGCTGCTCCACAAAGCTCTTCAGGTGCACTTTACCGATGACACCCTCGGGCAGCGCGGCCGTGCCCGGCCCCTGCTCACAGGCTGTGGCACAAGGGGCCCGGCCCAGCGCTGCCTTCAAGGCCGAGACAGCCTCAGGGAGGGACGAGCCGCCGGAGCCGGAGGGCCAGTCGATGCGGAGCTGCCGCAGGACCTCCGAGCTGCCCTCCTGGGCGAGGGCCGGGACCAGGCGCACGCCGACCCTGCGGGAGAGGGCGAAGCGGGCGCTGTCAGCGGCGGGTCTGGGGCGCGGGCAGGGCGGGACGGGGACACTCACTCACCCCTGGGCGCGCAGCAGCTGTGCCAGGTGGTCGGCGAGCAGGGCCGGGCGGAGATGGCGCGGCCGCAGAACGGCGGGGCCGCGCAGGGCCGGGCAGTGCAGCACCACGGGGCCCTCCCGCGCCCCCGCCGCGGGGGCGGCCGGGCCGGGCAGGGGTCCCAGCAGGCGCTGAAAGGCCTCGGGGCGCCGCACCTGCACCGCCAGCCCCGCCGGCGTGTCCCGGCAGCCCCGCAGCGGCAACACCGCCGGGCCCCGCAGCGCCGGCACCGCCGACACGGCCTCGGGCGGCACCTGCGGGCAGGGCGGGGTCGGGGGGGCGGTGCGTGAGGGGACGGCCCCGCCCCTTCTCCCACGGCCCGCTCCGCCCACCGCTAGCAGGCCCCGCCCCCTCCCAGCCGTGCTCCCGGGCCTACCTGCCCGCCGGGAAAGGCGGCGCCCAGCGCGGCCCGCGGCGCCAGGAAGTCTCGGTGCCGCAGGTTGCGGGCGCCGCTCTCCTTCACCCAGAGCGCGCCGGGGCGCCCCAGCGCCCCGTTCAGCGCCCGCAGCGTCGCCGCCACCCCCGGCCGGCCCTCTCCCGCCTCCATGAGGGACAAGCCGGCCGGAACGGAAGTGACATCACAACCCCGAGCCCTCTCCGCTCCCACTGGCGGCCGCCATGCTGGGCGCGGGTTTTCCGGGTGGCCATTTTGGTCACGGGCAGGAGGGACGGGCGGGGCGGCCATATTGGGGGAGCGGGGCGGGGCCGCCATGATTGGTGTGGCGGGCGGCGGCGGCCGCCATGCTGGGAGTGGCGGGCCGGGGCCGAGCCTGAGGTGGGTGGCAGCGCTGCACTCGGGCTCTGCTGCGCCCCGCACGGTGCGGGGGTCTCTGTCCCGCACAGGCTCACCCCAGCACGGCCATGGTGCCATTCTGAGGTGCTGAGGAGGGAGTGGTGCACCCTCCTCTCCAGGCTGGAGCAGCCCCCGGTCACCAACACTGGGGCATGGGGAGAGCCCAGAACTGAAAGCGAGCCAGAAGACATGCAGGGGTCAGACAGGCACAGGCTGTCCCTGGGCTGTCCCCGGGCTGCTGAGGACAGTGAGAGGCCCTGGGACAGGGTCTGGCAGCCTGGACAGTGACGGGCAAGGTGGGGGTGTGGATGGGCTGGAGGATGTTTGGCAGACTCCCTCCGTGGGCACTGTGTCCCTGGCAGACCATGGCTCAGCGGTCCAGCCTGGCACTGCAGGCCCCAGGGCTTGGCTGGGCTGTGACACGGTGGCCAAGCAGCACCAGCAGCACCTGCCAGGTGCAGTGTCTCACCACAGTGGGCTCTGCCATGTCCCCAAGCCTCCCCAGAAGGAAGGACAGGCACAAGGAGCTGCTCTCCTACCCAGCATGTGAGCAGTGTCCCACTTATCAGCCCCAGAAGGAAGGAGGTGATTACATCGTGCCCTCGTGGTCTTGATTTCATCTGCAGAGCTGAGGGGCTCCATGGCAGCAGTGGTTCAAGCACAGATCTGGCAGTGAAGGGCTCATGGTGCTGCCCAACTCCCCAGAGTTGCATGGTGGGGGCTACTGAAGTGGGGACAGGGCAAGGGCCCAGTGCAACCCCAGCCCCTTGGCACCCAGCCTGGTTGCTGGGGCAGGGATCCAGGAAGCGCTGAACCCTGGCACAACACAGCGCAACAGAGCACGCATCCCAGGAGCTGGGGACCTCCCTCCCTGCCCTGCCCTTCCTGCCCCCCCCACGAGGCCAGGGCAGGCGGGGAGCTCTGCCCACAAGGCCCAAACCGGTTCCTCCAGGGCTTGTGTGCAAGGAGGAAGGGGGGAGGAAGCAGGGCAAGGGCAGATCCTGCTGCGTGGGCTCTGCCAGGAACGCAGTAACTCGTTCTGGGGCCCTGCAGGCAGCTCTGGTGCCCCACAGCCAGTGAGAATCCACAGCCCGGGGCAGGAGTGGGGACATGTCCCCCCAGCAGAGCAGGGCCGTGCCATGGTGGGGTGCTCCCTGCACCACCCACAGCCAAGAGGTGATCTGAGAATCGCTGCTCACACCAGACCAACTGCTGACTGTCCGCAGGGCAGGAGCCGCCCAGGACCCCTGCCCAGCTGGCTGGGGGGACTTGCCAGACCTCGAGTCACCACTCACGGTGGGGTCCAGGCTGGATCCGTCCCCATGCCCAGAGTGTCCCCCCAGCAGGCCCACGAGGGCCCTGGCAGCGCAGCAACCTGGGGAGGGCTCTCGGAGGCGCCGAAAGAGCTTTGGACAGACACGACATCCCCGATGGCTCTGGCTGCCCGCTCAGCGGGAGTGATCGTGTCATTCCAAAGCTGTCTCTCTCTGGGGGACAGATCCTGCCCACCCCTGCTGGCACTGAGGGGCTGTGGGGGGTGCCAGGGAGAGCTGGCACGGGCAGGAAGCTTGGCAGTGCCTCACAGCCTGAACCGCGCCCAGTGCAGGTGCCCACATCCACCCTGCGGCCAACAGCCACACTTCTCCGGTGGAGAGTCCCCAGGAAGCCAGCTGCTGTTCTTAGCTTTTGGGGGCACAAGACCACTGGAGAGCCCCCAGCCCAGTGGAGGGGGCTGAGTCTTGAGGATGGGCACCAGTGATCCCCCATCCCGATACCTCCCTTCTCCCAGTGCAGCTCCACACACTGCCCCAGCCCCAGCAGGGGTTGGAGTGGGGCAGCGGCTCTTGCCCAGTGCCCGGCCCGGCGGGCAGGGGTGTAAGGCAGGTGAGGTGGGGGCGGGAGCGCGGGTAACGAAACCCCAGGGCAGCTGGGCACAGCGGGGACAGCTGCTTTTGGGATTCCGTTGCCCGCGCCAGCGCCGCGGAGGGAGATGGGCAGGGACACCACTGCCACGCCACCCCGACCCTCGGGCCGTCGGTGGGATAAAGGGGGGAGAGGACGACTTACCGGCGGGGACGGGGGCGGAGGATCTGCGAGGGAGCCGCCGCCGGGCCGCTGTGGCCGGGGGTGCCGGCAGAGGCCAGGGTTGTGCCGGCTCCCCCCGCGCCGCGGGCCGAGTGCCAAGGGGAGGGCGGCACAGCCGAGCCAAAAGGAAACGGCTCCGAACAAAGCCCCGATGGGGCTGGAGCAACTGGTGCCAGCCCGGCAGCCACCGACGGAGCCCGGAAACACGAGCCGTCCCCGAGGGAGTGCACCTGCCCCGCCACCTGCGCCCGGCGGCGGCACCGGCAAAGCACCGGCACGGCCCCGCCAGCGCCTCCCGGCCCCGGCGAGGAGCCCTCGGCACCCGCCATGGGGGGAAGTGAAACCGCGTGGGGAACGGCCCCACGCGGAGCTCACGCGGTGTCGCCCGGGGATTCCTGGGACCCTGCCCTGGCTGAGCGTGCGGGGACTCCTGACGCCTCTGGCACGGCACGGCACGGCACGGCGGTGGGAAATGCCCCGCCGACACTGCCGGGGAGCCTCCCAGTGACCCCCAGAGTGTCAGGCCCCGGCCGGTCCCGGAGTGGGTGGGTGACAGAGGTGAGGGACATGGGTCCCCCGCCCCAGGGCACCCCCGAGCCCGCAGTGCCACCGGCTCCACCAAGCGGATAGCGCCGAGCGGCAGCGGGAGATCCCGGAGGCGGCTCGGGGGTTCAGCCCCGACTGGCAGCAGCCGCCCGCAGTGGGGCACACAGCGGGGCCGGGGCGCCGTGCCGAGCCTGGGGCAGCTCCGGGGCACCGGCGCGGCCGGGGGTGCCGCTCCCTCCCGCCGCCCGGGGAGCCGCCCGCTCCTCTCTCACCTCCGGCCCCGCAGCCTTCGGCGCAGCAGCCCGGGCCGGTCCGCGGCCCCTCCCGCCCCGCACCCGCCGTGCCGCTCCTGCCCCGCAGCCGCTTTCGGTTTCGCTCCGGCGCCCACCCAGGGCTGCGGGTCGGGGCGCGGCCGGGCCGGGGGGCGGCGGGTGTGTGAGCGTCGCTGCCCGCCCGCCCCGCCGGCCCCGCGGGCAGGGGAGGACCCCGGGGGGGAATCCCGCGAGCCCCGGTCCGACCCCGCTCCCGGTGCCGCAGTCCCGGCCCCGGCCGCCGGGGGGCGGTGGCGGTGGGGGCGGGGCCGCGCGGCGGTTCCGGCGATGGCGGCGGTGGCGGCGCTGCGGCGGCTCGGGCCGCTGGTGCGGCGGGCACCGGGCAGGTACCGGCACCGGGCACCGCCGCTGCCCCGCGTCCGGCGGCGGTGCCGGTGGGGTCCCATGGGGTGCCCGTGGCGTGTTCGTGGGCCCCGCGTGTCCCAGCTGCTCCCTGTCCCCGCAGGGTGCCGTTCCGCGGTCACCGGCTCACGCCGGCGGACGACGAGATGTACCAGCGGACGCGGGTGACGGTGCTGGAGCCCGAGTCCCCCAGCATCATGTTCATCGAGGGCTACAGCAACCGCGGCTTCACCATCAGCGGGGACGTGGTGGTGGGGCCCTGCGCTGTCCTGCCCCGCAGCATCCTCCAGTGGAACGTGAGTGCCCGGCAGCGGGGCCGGTCCCCGCACCGCTCCGGGGCGGCCCCGCTCAGCAACCGTCGTGTCCCCACAGGTTGGCTCGCACCGGGACATCTCGTTCGAGAGTCTATCGCTGTTCCGGCTGCTGGAGCCCCACATCGGTACGTGGGGCAGGAGGGGCGCGGGCTGCCCCCACTCCGGGCTCCTGTCGGGACTGGTGGTACCTTCAGGGAGGGCAGCTCTGGGCCGAGGCAGCCCCAGTGCCGCTCTGCCCACCCTTGTCATGCCCTGGTTGCAGAGATCCTGGTGCTGGGCACGGGGGACAGGGTGGAGCGGCTCCACCCCACCATGCTGAGGCAGATGCGGGAGTGCGGGATCGCTGTGGAGGTACAGGACACGGTAAGGAGGGGTGAGCACAGGCAGCACTCCAATGAAGGGGAGGGCCGTGGTCACTGTGAGACTCTCTTGGGGACGGGCAGGAGAGAAGGGGTCATGTGTTCTGTGGGGAAGAGCTGCATCTCCTTCCTGAGTGCTGGAGCTTTACTCACTCCCTTTTCTATTCACAGCCAAATGCATGTGCAACCTTCAACTTCCTGATGAGTGAAAAGCGTGTGGTGGCTGCTGGGCTCATCCCTCCGCTGGGCATCTACCAGGGGATGTAGGCACTGCCTGCCACAGCTGTGGGCTGAGTGGGGCTGCCCCTGCCTGCCTGAAGCCCCCGAGGGTCACTGCTCCCAAGGGAGACACACTTCAGACTGGACTGTGGAGCTTCTGGCTGGGTGGTGGCTCTGCACACAGGAGGGCTGTGAGATTCGTGGGCTTGGATCTGGCCTGCAGTTCTGGCTTCTTGGCCTCCCTGCCCAGTCTGGGCTGGGGCTGCAGGGCACAGCACCATGGCTTTACTGACAGCACCACTCCCACAGCCTTGCCAAGGTCATGTCCCACACCTTGGCAGCAAGAAGTCCTGCTGCAAGGCAGGGTGGAGGCTGTTGGGGTGAGCTGCACACCCCCCAGGCACATCTGGGGCTCCACGAGATAAATACATGTAAATGGGAAATAGAAGAATTGTGTGTTGGTTAATGCACAGCTCAGCGAGGCTGCAACATGCTAATGGGGCACGTGCTCTCCCCGGGCACTGGGGGAGTGTGCAGTGCCAGTGGTGCCACGTGCCAGCAGCTCCCTGACCACAGCCACCACCAGCAGCTGCTGTGTCCCAGCTGGTGCCTGGGCTCTCCTGTGGGGCTTTGTGCCACCCCACAGTGCCTGTGCCCCTTGTGCAGCTTCGGGCTGCTGTCAGTCCAAGGGTGCTGCATCCCCACTCGTTGGATGCTCAGCTTAAGCAGGGAACATG